TTCCGCAGCACTCCATTTCGGAACTTCCGCAGCACGTTTAAGTAACTTCCGCAGATAACCCGGCGGAACTTTCTCAAACGTTCTGCGGAAGTTCCGGTTGATTGTTTGAGTTTGAAGCCTCCGTTACTGAAGCTACTTGAAGCTAAAGAAAACATAGTGGGAAGAGAGTTCTTAACCAAAAAGAGTGTACTTACTTTTGGGACACCCTGTATATTGAAACAAGTTCTTCCGAGTGGTATCAAAAATAGAAAGGAGCAGAAGTTATTAGTAATCAGTGAAAAAGCTATCATCGCATACTCCGTGTCTATGAATGGGTTACTTTGAGAATAACTTCATTAGCAACCTTGATGTCTTGCATGCGTCAAATTGATGTCAAGTTAAGCTGCATTGGGTTCTTGGGCGTTGTAACATCTAGTTTCGTGGTAAAGTTGAGCTGTTCATGTTGTTCGGTTACTGTAGAAACCACATTCCTTGTGAAATTGAGCTGCTGAGGTTTCTTGGTTGTTGCAGCTTCCAGTTTGGTGGTGAGCTGGACATGCTTATGTTTTCTGGCAACATGTGCTCTGTTCCTGTCTAAAATGGAAGGCTTAAAGATGAATAGAATCTTAAATTCCAACGTCTTCTATTCTTATGGCGCCTTCTGTTTTGAAGTCTTCTTCTTCTTCCTTTTCTTCTTCGGTCGCTAGTTTTGAAGGAATCCCTGTAGAAGTAACCAGGAAGAGACGCCTCCTTCTTATCCATTCTCATCGCTTTTATCTCGTACCATGCTTCGTCTCCTGTATTAAACATTAACAGAACATGAGAATTCGAAGAATTTGCAATAAATAACCTCCATCTGCTTTCGCAATATTTTTGCTCTCTTTCGCTTTACCCAATGAATGTTTTCCGTTTTTGGAGATGGCAGCCTGAATAAATCTCTGTTAAAGGCAGTGTTCTACCAAGATTTAGGCCTTAGGACCTGCAATCACAAGTCTTTGCAAACCTCATAGCTGTAAACTACTGAAATTCGCATAGAAATCTCAAAATAGCGTGCCATGCACTTTTGGTACAATTTTTTCTTATAGAGCCTTAATCAAATGGGACTTCGTATGTGCACTGGATTTAACGCATCCAAGTAATAAATAACCGTTGAGATTATCTCACTATATGTCTCCTTTCTTCGTTGCGTTCCGCTATCGTAGCACCCCACCACACTTTGACTTGAGTTTTGTGTCATGAATGAGAGGGCACGAATTTTGGGGAGTTTTGAAGAGAAAAAGAATCATTAGATAAGAAATACAATTTTGAGA